CCCCCCCCACCCCTCCTCTCCACAAATCCTTCTCTGTTCTAGCACTGATGATGTTCCCTAGTTGGGTCATGAAACGTCTGCAAGAAAACCACCAAGCTCAGAGAGCACCAGGGACCCCACAGTCGTCGTCCTCCTCTTCCTCTTCCTCCTCCTCCTCCTCCTCCTCCTCCTCCTCCTCCTCCTCCTCCTCCTCCTCCACTTCACTCCCTTCTAACACTGATAAAATTACCTAGCTGGGTCATGAAACATCTTCAAGAACCACCCCCAAGCTCAACCCCAACCTTCAAAGACCTTCTTCTCAAATCAACTTTGCCTGAGTTGGCGGTGGTTTCAAGGGCTTTGCGGTGCAAAAGCCAGGCCCACTTGGGCCTCTTCGCGGTGCCTCCTGAGCACCCCGGGTGCCATTTTGGAAGGGCCCCGTTTCCCCCCCTCCCTCCCTCCCTCCTTCCTTTTAAAGTTCCTCCCAGCGTACAGGGTGACCGCTCCTCCTTTCTTTGAACGCAACCCGGCCGCGGATTTTGTCCCGCCTGGCTGGCGAAAGGCCGGCGTGGCCCTCGGTCTTTTTTTTTTTTTCTCCCTCCCAACAATAGAGGGGGGTTTTTTTTGGCGGCGGGGGTGTGTGTGTGACCCGAAAATAATAAACATTTCCTTCCTTCCCTCAGCTGCACGAGTTCTGCAATGTTGGCAAAGGGATTTTTGATGACATCGCACGGAGGTTCCCAGTCTACGCTCTGGATTTCACCGACGGTAGGCGAGCCGTTGTTTACGGGGGGCGTTGTGGGGGGGGGGCAAGAGGCCACGTTTCTCCCGTGTCCTGTTTTCCGGCGGCGCCTGACAATTCGGCCTCGCTGTTGAAAGGGAAATGGAGCGCTGGGGCAGCGGCGGGGTTGATTCCCACTGTCTTCAGCCAGAAGGGATGCCGCCGCCTCGACCACATCCCAGGGTCATCCAGGTGCACAAAGAGGTTTACCTGCAGGACCAACACACGGCGTGGATAGTCCCCTGCCCAGCGTTGTTATCTCATTCGCAGAGTCACCTTTTAAATAGAGTTTGAGGGGGTCCTCGGTGCTCCCTGATCTCGGTTTGGGTTGGGTTTTTTTTGTGTTTTTTTTGCAGACGTTTCATTGCCAGACTAGGTAGCATTTCTTAGGGGCAGTAAATACCTGCACCAAACCCCCATTGCCTTCTAGCACTGATGCTGTTACATAGTTTGGTAATGAAACGTCTGCAAGAATACTACCAAGCTCAGAGAGCACCAGGGATCCCACAGTTCTCCTCCTCTTCCTCCTCTTCCTCCTCTTCCTCCTTCTCCTCTTCCCCCTTCTCCTCTTCCTCCTTGTCCTCTTCCTCCTTGTCCTCTTCCTCCTCCTCCTCCTCCTCCCACTCCTCTCTGCAAACTCCATCATCTTATAGCATAGATGCTGTTACATAGTTTGCTAATGAAACGTCTGCAAGAATACTACCAGGGATCCCACAGTTGTCCTCCTCCTCCTCCACCTCCTCCTCCTCCTCCTCTTCTCTGCAATCTTCATCCCCTTCTAATATCTTTTTTTTAATTTTAAAAATATTTATTAAACATATTTTCACAATTAAAAACACGTTTCCACTCATTACAGCATGTTCATAACAGTGTTCATTCACATTGACACATTTCTAGACGTATAGGTTATTACTAAGTATTATTATAGTTATTTCTACATTCAGTTTAAGGCATATATTCACATATTTATTTACATAGTTATATATCCCCTTGATGCTGTTACATAGTTTGGTAATGAAACGCCAGCAAGAAAACTACCAAGCTCAGGGAGCACCAAGGACCCCACAGTTGTCATTCTCCTCCTCCTCCTCCTCCTCCTCCTCCTCCTCCTCCTCCTCCTCCTCCCTCAAGACAAGAGTCTTGACTCCCTCCTCTTTGGGGCAACCCTTCAAGCGTCTGAAGCTGTCTATCATGTCCTCTTAGTCTTTCTCTTTGTTAACCTAGACACACAGAATTCCCTTAACTGTACATCATTCATCCTTCTCAGAAATGCACAGCTACCATTCCTAATACAGGTAATTCCCGACTTAACCATCTTTCTTTAGCGATGGTTCAAAGTTACAACGGCACTGGAAAAAAGTGACTTATGGCTGTTTTTCACACTTACGACCATCCCTCACGTGTTTTAAAGTCAGGCGCTTGGCAAGCGACTCGCATTTACGACGGTTTTAGTGTCCCAGGGTCACTTTTGAGACCTTCTGACAAGCAAAACCAATGGGGAAGCCGGATTCACTTAACAAATGCATCACTAATTGAACAGCTGCAGGGATTCACTTAACAACTGCGGCAAGGAAAGTCGTAAAATGGGGCAAAACTCACTTCACAACTGTCACGCTTAGCAAGGGGTAAATCTGGGGCCCAGTTGCGTGTCGTTCTTAGGGATGCATAGCTACCTTCCCATTATAGGAGAGAAAATGGAAGAGTATTTCATTTATTATTATTATTTTTGTCTGCTTGAACTTAAAATAGCTCCACTCCTTCCTTCCGCGTTGCCCCATTTTTAATTTCATTGGTGACAATGGAGCGTGAAGGAATGTTGAAGAACCAGCATTTTGAAATATAATAAGTGCAGCTGGGGCTGTGAAGGGTCCCCTCTGCAAGGTTTGCATGCTATTTGGAGACTCGGATGAAATATAACAAAAAATTTCTCCTTGTGCTTTGCTATAAAAGGTCTGGATAAGGAAGGATTTACTGCCCAGAATCGGGCACCTTATTTCATCAGCTTCCTTCTGATGCTTCGGTTGATAAATATTACCTGTCCGTAACTATTGATCCTAATAGTTGGGGGTGGTGAAAGTTTTAACTCAGCAATATAAAAGGATGGGAGGGAGGGATGAAGGAATAGAAGGGAAGGAGGGAGAATGGATGGAAGGATGGATGGGTAGATGGAAGAGGGGAGAGGGAGGGAGGGAAGGAAGAAGAAAGGGAAGGTGGAAGGGAGGAAAAGAGCAAAAGGGGAGCTAGGGATGGAAGAGGAAGAAAGAATAAAGAATAAAGAAGGGAAAAAGAAAAGGAAAAGAAAGAAAAAGGAGGGAGGGGGGGAGAAGAAGAGATAAGGAAGGAAGGAAGGAAGGAAAAAAAAGGAGGATGGATCGTTGGAAAAGGGAGAGGGAATGAGGGAAGGAAGAATAAAGTGGGAGGAAAAAATGGAAGGAACTAAGCAAGCAAGAGGAAAAATGGAAGAATAAAGAAGAGAGGAAGTAAAAGAAAGAAAGAAAGAAAGAAAAAGAAAGGAAGGAAGAAAGAAAGAAAGAAAGAAAGAAAGAAAGAAAGAAAGAAAGAAAGAAAGAAAGAAAGAAAAGTGAGGGAGGGAGGAAAATAATGAGAGGATGGATGGAAAAAAGGGGGAGTGAGAAGGAAGAGTAAAGGGAATAAATGAAAGGGGAACTAAGGAAGGAAGATAAAGGAAGAAAAAAGAAAGGGAGGAAGGAAAAGAAAGAAAGGGAAAGGAGAGAGAAGAAGGAAGAAATAAAGAGGGGAAGGTAAAGGAAAGGAAGGAAGGCCCATATCTAATAATCTCAATGGCCTTCACGCTCTTGTGACTACAGTTCCCAGAATCCCCTAGGCCGACACCTGGTGCATTTCTACGGTTTTTAACCCGCTCTCTGGTGTTTGTTTTAGGCATCATCGGCACCAACAAAGCGATAGGGAAATACATCACCACCATGATCTTCCTCTACTTCGCCTGCCTCCTGCCCACCATCGCTTTCGGCTCCCTCAATGACGAAAACACCGAGGGGGTCATCGGTGAGTTGGCCTTGCCTTAGTGACTTTCGGGATTCCCGGCGGGGTGGAGGGAACCTCTGGGCATTGGGGGAAAATCCCTTTGTCAACATGTCCTGCGCAGAAGGGAAAAAAAAGAAAAAATCCCTCTCTGTTCTGACCCAAACCTCGTTCCAAGGAAACAACCAAACAGAGATAAAGGCAAAACCTTGTCATGATTCTTTACGAATTCCTGTTCCTTCCCGGTTAAAAGTCTGTTTCAAACCAATTGCCCCTGATAAGAACCAGCCTTGCCAAGGTGGTGCGAGGCTGCCAAGAACACGAGATAAAGTTGCCAAGAAGTATTTCAAACACAAAGAGTCTCCAAACACAATTCCGAACGTCCACAAGGCTTGAGTGCAAAAACGTCTTTGCTTCCTGCAAAGAACTACGGTTTCTCAGCTGGCTTTTATCCCTTATGGGAAGAGCCATCAACTTGCAGCCTTATTCCCGAGTCGCTCGTGCTGTTGCAGCTGCTCTTCCTTTCGAACAGCCGTGCGTGCATGCGCACTGGGCACAGGCTCCTCGGGGTCCTCTTCCTCGCTGCTGCCAGCCTCCTCCATCTCCGAAGGCAGCACTCCCCTCCCTGAGGGTCCTGGCCCCATCCCTGCATCCCACGCAGGCCCCTCATCCGAGTCCTCACTTTCCAAGACCTCAGCCGTCCGCACCTGCTGCTGCTGAACCACAACACTCTAGCAGAAAAGTACAGGCAGTCCTCAATTTAACGACCGCAATTGCCTTCCAAATTTCTGTTGCTAAGCGAGAAATCTGGTTTAAGTCAGTTTTGCGAACCCTCCTCAATCGAATTGGCGGCATTGGGAACGTCTGTACTGTCAACTCATAAAATATGTCCCTGGTCTTTTTAGAGTTGCCAACAGAAAGGGAGGGGGGAGCAGTGCGGCAGCTTGCAAACTGAAAGTGCATTCCATAAATGTTTTCAAAGATAGTTTCTAGGTGACCGAAGTTTCTGCCCAGCAAATATCTAACTGGAGAGCCTGATTGATGACTCTGGGCTATGGATGTATCCCATTGGAGGATATGAATTAGGATACACCCAGGAGGTACAGGGGGGAAAACCAGGGTCAAGGGTGCCAATGAATTACGTGTTTCAGAGTCAGCTACACCCAGGCAGTGCCGGACATTTAACACCCAATAAATCCTTTTGAAGGTTTGGAAGTTTTGGCTCGAAACTCAGGAATTAAATGGGGTTAAGTGCCGGAATCCTGACATGTACATTTGAATTATTTGCAGAATTTACTTTGTACAGGTTAAGTCTTAGATTTAACGACAGCTCGTTTTAGTGACCGTTCGAAGTTACAACGGCATTGAAAAGAGTGGCTTGTGACCGTTTTCCCACACTTAACGACCGTTGTAGCAGCATCCCCGCACGGTTAATGTGATTTATCTCCAGAATGCTTGAAAACCAACTCACATTTATGACGGTTGCAGCGTCCCAGAGTTGTGTGAATCCAACCTTTTTTTTTTTTTTTTTGAGACTTTTTGACAAGCCAAGTCGACAGGGGAAGCCCGACTCACTTAACAACCCTGTGGCTGACTTAACAACTGCAGGGATTCCCTTCACAACCGAGGCAAGAAAAGTTGTAAAATGGGACAAAACGGTCACTTCACAAATGTCTTCACTTAGCGATGTAAATTTTGGGCTGCATTGCGGGTCGTATGTATGTTGAGGACTACCCGTCTTTAAAATCCCGATAAAATGTTGGAGTGCAGCGATGAACAGCAAAAAAAATAAAATAAAACCCCTTTGCAAGGAAGGACGGCTTTTAAAAATGGTCGTTTTAGCTAGAGACGGCTCTAAAAATAAATAAAAGGCCGTAGCAAGGATTTTTTAAAAAAAAAAAAAATTAAAAACGCTCTTCTGTCCAAAGAAAAACACAAGCCTTTGTTGGAACCAGACCAATATCTCTTAGCTTTATTTTTCTGCTTTTGTCTACTGGGGCCCAAAGTCCAGGAAATTCCATTTTTTCCCCTGATTTTGAAGTTTATAAAAGATAAGAACAGCCGATCTTGCTGAGCTGCAAGGACAGAGTTGTGCTAAGGCACACAAAAAATGTCAGGATTCCGGCAGTTACTCCAATTAAACCATGAGCCTTGAGCCACACTCCCAAAACTAAAAAAAAAAAAAAAAGATTTATTTGAAGGTAAAATTCTACGTCCGGCATTTACCTGGGCGTAGTCAACTCTGAGGTACATAATTCACCGTCACCCTTGATCCTGCTTTTCCCTGGGTGTATCATCCAATGAAAAACATCCGTAACCAAGAGTCATCAATTAGATTAATTCGATTTTTGCTTGGCAGAAGCTTCAGCCATCTAATCAGTCTTTGAAGAAAATGTGAATGGAATGTACTTTCGATCCCACAGTGCCGCCTGCTCTTTGACTCTCCCCCTTCTTTCTGTTGTCAACTATAAAACGTGTATACAAAATGTTTTATGAGTTGACACAGACACAGACACACACACAAATACACCTAGACACCTCCCTGAAAACCTAAAGGAGTCTCAGACTATAGCTTCAACCTTGTTTATTCCTAGAGGCTCCTCTTAACAATATTTTCAACGAAATTAAATTTGGCAGAGCAAGGCACACAATGTTCTCTATCCTCTCTTAACCAGACTGGATAGGTTCCAGAAACCATCATCCCCAGCAGGAGGGGGTGTTCCTCTCCAAATAGCAATATCCTTTGCCTTGCTTGTGGTGTGTGAGGATACAAATAGTGCTCGATTTACGACCGCAGTTGACTCCAGACTTTCCGGTTGTTAAAGTGAGTTTTGCCTCTTTTTACAACCTTCCTTGCCAGCGTTATTAAAGAGAATCCCTGCCGTTGTTAAGTGGATCATGCGGCCATTAAGCGAATCTGGCTCCCCCCCCCCCCCCATTGATTTGGCTTGCCGGAAGGTTACAAATGAACCCTGGGATGCTGCGACGGATTAAGTACATGCCAGTTGCCAAGCGCCCGAATTTTGATCATGTGATCACGGAGATGCTGCAATGGCCATATGTGTGAAAAACATTCATGGGTCGGGTTTTTCTTGCCTCCGGGCCTCAGGGAAACTTCCTGGGCGAAGCAGTAAGACAGCAAGGGGGATCCTGGCATAGCTGATCATCGGAACAGCTGATCGTCGGGAGGAAAAAGAAAAAAGAGAGAAAGAAATACTGGTTCGGCCGAACTGGTAGCTGTTTTGTTTACTACTGGTTTGGCCGAATGGCAGCATTTTTCACTACCGGTTCGCGCGAACCGGGCTGAACCGGTAGAATACCACCACTGACTTACAACCATTCATTCCGTGACTGCTCAAAATTAACAATGGCCCCGATCGAAAGGACGTAACAACCGTCTTTCACACTTAATGACTGCTGCGTCATCCCCATGGTCAAGGGCTCCAAATTCAGACACTTGGTAACTGACTCGTATTTGTGACGGGTGCAGCGTCCCGGGATCGCCTTTTGCGACCTTCCCGACAAGCAGAATCCAAGCAGGGAAGCCAGATTCCCTTAACAACCATGGCGAGAAAAGTCGCAGAAGGGGGCGAAACTCACTAACAACGGCTGCGCTGGGCAACAGAAACGTATTCGGAGTTTTACAGCGATAATTCAGCGCCAGAAAAACAAACACCGATGGCTGATGCTTCATTGAACGTCTTTATAAACACAATAAGTAGATTTTATAAACCAGTTGTAGATTTCTCCAACATGGAGCAAACGCAGACAGAGGTAGACGTGTTACAAGTTCGGAGCTCCAGCGAGCAACTCAGAAAGAGACCTCAGTTTCACTTGAGTTCAGCAGGCAAGCAGAGGAGAGAAGCCATTTCATCTTCTAGACAGACTCAGAGCTTAACATAGCTGCAGAGTTGCAGAGCTTAATATAGAGCCTTCTAGTTTCAGTTTCCAAACAGTCCTCATTGGCTGACTTAGTTGCTACGCCTATTCATTGGCTGACCTTGTTACCATGCTCTATTCCAATTCATGAATAGACTCTGACAAAACACGGGGTCAATCGTAGTCATAGGTCGAGGACTACCTAAAGTGGGAGAAGATTCCTGCGCGTAGCATGTTAGCAATAAAGCGGTTGAATTGGACTTTTGAATCTGGACTTGGTTTTTCCTGCCTGACGATGATGCTGCGGTTTAAAGCAGGTTGACTCCAGCCGATTCTGAATTTTTTTTTCCCCCCGGTGTTGTCTTTTGATTTCCAGACGTGCAAAAGTCGATTGTGGGCCAGTGCATCGGCGGCCTGGTTTATGCGCTCTTTGCCGGCCAGCCACTTGTGGTGCTTTTAACCACAGCTCCTTTGGCTCTGTATATCAATGGTGAGTTCGTCCTTTCTCGGTTTTCTGTACTTTATTTTATTTATTTTTTTACTCTATTTATTTTGATTTGTCAATCGCTTGCAAGATAATAGGAATGAGTATAAATGTGATGACCCAAAGGGGTGTGGCACAAAAGCAACACAATCAAATAAGCAAGAAGAATCCCTTTATTATCTCCAACTTTGCCCCCGGTGTCCTGGTTACATTCTGGGCTGGAGAAAAACTCTCCCAGGAGCAGCTTTTGACTGTAGAAAATTCAGTCTGAAAACGAAGTACATACAAGCCGTAACTAAAAATCCACACAAACCGCGCTGCAGTGATTAACTTGACAAGGCAGGAGAAGGAATTGCAGACTTGAAAGGCCTGCAAAACACACACAGTCGGGAAGATACCAGGAACCCAGATAAGCCTCGACGATACCAGATAATTCACAATTTGCTCCCAACAACTTGCTGTGCGCAGCTTCCCTTTTTAAACACAGCTAATGAAGGGAATCAGGGCCCTTTCCTCCCCCGTAAGCCATGCAACTCAGGCTGCTCCCTTCTCCGTTCCTCCCTGTGTGCCCTAGGATGAAGAGGGGGTGGGCCTGGATCTTCTTCTGAACCCCCTCTCCCTTGTTCTACCTCTCCCCCTCCTCTGCCCAGCCGGACTTTGCCCTTCCCCACTTTCTTCCACAGCCACTGGAGCCACACTCCTGCTCCCTGTCAGCTATTCGGCCTCCCCTCCCAAGCAGATTCCAACGGGGGCATGAGTATAAACATGAGTAAGAATACAGGAAATGCATACGAATAAATGGGGATAATAGGACAGAGACGGTAGGCAAGATGGTGCGCTTATGCTGGAAACTCACCTTCTCCTGGTTATAGACCCAAAGCCACTCCATTGACATTCGTGGCTGAAGTAGGATTAGAACTCACGGTGTCCTGGTAATCGGCCCCAAATCACCCAGCTGGCTTGCAAGTCTAAGGCAGGACTAGAATTCACGGTCTCCTGGTTTCCAGCTTAATACTTTTATCAGTTGATCAAACTGGCTCTCTTGCTTCCTTGCTTCCAGTGATCAAAGGAATCTGTTATGATTACAACTTGGACTTCCGTGCGTTTTATGCGTGGGTTGGACTCTGGAATAGTTTCTTCCTCGTATTGTACTCCCTCTTCAACTTCAGTCTTGTAATGAAGCTCTTTAAAAGGTAAGGAATAATTCTTCTTCTTCTTCTTCTTCTTCTTCTTCTTCTTCTTCTTCTTCTTCTTCTTCTTCTTCTTCTTCTTCTTCT